TGATGAAATGTCAAAGCATACTGAGCATCTTTCTCTTTGACACCATGTCTGAAATCCCACGTGATCTGTCAAATACTAATGCATGAAAATCCTAACCTCAAAAAAATCACCCGTTACTTATTTTTTTCGAGAGAATTTCGTGCATACTTTTTGAGCGGAGTTTGAATTAATCTAATTATGAAAAATTTGCAAGTTATTGTCAAAAGTATGCATCTTTAGCGTTTTCAAAAAAAATTATAATAAAAGCTTTTTGTGTGGGAGAAGTGGAGCTGGATAGCCAAGTCTAATTAGCAAAGACCGTCTGAGGCAAATCAGATAAAATTCGGACCCCTTTTTTACCGTTGCTTAGTCAACGAAAATCTTGCAGTTATCTGAAACTACCAGGGGAGTTTCGAAATTCCACTTTCAAGGATTAAAAATTTGGATTTTTTTTTTTAATAAAAGCAAAGTTTTGTTAACCCGAACCTTCGGGATTTTCGAAAAACAAATTGTTAAATCCCGAAAGGTTTAAATATTTGGGTAACCAGCGAAAAACATAAAACATAAAAAAATTTTTGAAAAAAATGGTCTTGAATCCTGTCCAAACGTTTTTTTTTTTTTTTGAAACTTAATACCGAAAAAACCAAGGAGTGGACATTTGTCCAACAAAGATGAAATTTGGCAATTAAAAAAAAAAGCCCCAAAATTGCGATAAGTAAAAAATTTATTAATCGCCAAACTCCCGAATTTAGAAAAAAAACAGCTCGAAAAGCAAGAAGTTTTTCTAATAAATATTGGTAGGACTTGGCTGTGCTGGAGCTTCGGAATTTTTGAAAGAAAAATAGACTCCAAAATCCTTAAATGTGTAAATTTTTCTAATATCAGAAAAGTTAGGTCCCGAAAAACAAAGAAGTTGCAATTTTTCTAAAAATCAAGAATGAGTCCCAAAATCCCGTTAAGTATGAATATCCGCGAAATCCTTAAATATGGAAATTTTTCTAATATCAGCAAAAACTGGGTCCATCCCGAAACCTTTGCATTTCGAAAAACAGTCCCTAAAACCCAGGCTGTGGGAATTTTGCTAGAATTGAGGGATTCCAACAGTTCCGAAACTTTGCGATTTACGAAAAAGTGCTCAAATCCAATAATTGTATAATTTCTTATGGCTTGCGAACTTTCGCTATCCAGGTTCAGCTAAGCAATCCTGAAAATGTTTAATGTATCTTTGAGATTTTAAAAGAATTTTACATTACAAAAATTTCTGTTCCTTTTTGGGGATATTCCCCACTCAAAACACTCTTAGCCGGTCGTCATAATGGCATTCGACTCTGCTGTTTATATTCAAAAGTTTACTTACTTTCAAGCCAAAACTGATGAAGAACGAAACTTCTATAGTGCGTAAATATGTCCATTAAAATGTACATTGTACATATATACGATAATCAAAATGTTAAATTCAAAAAGAAATTATAATAATGAAATACTTAAACCATATCTAAGTAAATAAAATCACCACCCTAAGAAATAATCTTTACTTGTTTGTTTTTTTTTTTTTATATGGCATTATGCTTTTGTTAAAACCATATTAATTCCATGGAAAATAGTAGAATAAATTGTTAGTGGATTTTAAATACAAGCATAATTTTCACACTGCATTCATATCATTAGCTATTTTTTCAACAACAAGTTGACACTGTAAAAAATAACACCATATCGAAAGCGAAAATGTAGGTATGTAGTCACATTACCGAGTGCGGTGAAATAAATAAAAGTTTAGCGTTGAGAAAGCGGTGGTGTATAGTTGTAATGTATCTAATCAAATACACTATATATGTATGCAAATTTAAATGATTTTAAAGCATAATAAATATATACTTACCATATACATAATATACATACATAAATATCATTAGTGTATAATTGACAAAATGTGGTAAATAAACTACTGACGAATATCTATGTACATATACATATACTTATGCCTAAGTGCATACATACACACAAATTACTACAAACAATATTTCAAGATTCATATATACACTCATACATAAATACATATAATATTATATTTAATGAATTAAATTAAATAAAGAGAAATATTAACAAAAAAAATTTCCAGTTGAACTTTCTTAATTTTCGTATGATGTCTTCTGGCAATAGATTTTTCTCGGGGTTTGCTTCTAGTATGGGTTACTTATAGACACTAAAGACTTGGGTACTAAATACATATGTGAGAATTATTGCATAAGGAACAATTCCCCGTAGGAATTAGGGGCGCATAATAATGCCTTACCAGCAACTTACTCTTCACCCGGCATCCTTACCACATCCCTGTCGACTTTAACAAAGGCGTGGCCGCCTTACCAAGTGAATGTAGAGTAGTTGCTCGGAGTAGATCGGCGTTCGGTAGTATCTTCGGTGGCACATTATTTTACAACTTACAGGAGGTGCTCATTTTGTGCTTTGCTTTTGCTTTGAGATAACACCAGTCTGATAACAATTTTGGTATTAAAAACTGAAAGAAAGCATGAATTACCTCGTAAAGTGTTTAACTATTTTTAGTGTGAATATACAATTTTATTCACACTAGAACAGGTTATTCGTAGTTGAACCAAAAGGAGACGAGTTTAAAGGGCCACCAGTTAAACGAAAGGGTTATAATCAGAGTCTTTTTCCATTAAACTACAAATAAAAAAACCTCATCGATTTTCTTTGTAATATTCCTTTTATTCACTTTGTTTTTTTCGCCACATTTCTATTTCCGTTTAATTGAATTTCATATCACGCGTATGGACGCGTGCTTTTAATTTATTTAATGCGCAAGCGCGCAACTCGTTCTCAAAATACTGAATGTCCGCGAACGTGCATTTTAGATATTCCCTCGCTTTAAACGCACACATCAGCTGCTGCTGCTAAGTTTCAAATACAATTTTCAAATATTAAATTTTTATTAATATATTTCATTATTATTATTATTTTTTTGTTTTAAGTATAATATATTGTATAATAATATATTATTTATTAATATATAGTATGTATGTATATGTAGGTGATAAATTTTAATTTTTCATTTCATTTAAAAATTTTGGAATTTTTCTTTGCTTTTCACTCTGTGCTCTTAACGCTCGCTAGACGCTAACACCTTGCGTCTTCGTGCTCCGTCAAATTTGTTTTTTTTTTAATTTTTTTTTTTTGTATCAGTATTTAGTCGTTTGCCACTTATTAAATTACATTTTACACAAAATTAATTATGTATGTTTCTATATATTTAAAAAAAAAAAAAATGTTTTCCATGGATCAATAAACAGTAATATTAAATTAAATTTCGCCTTGCACGCGCGCGTATTCACATTTTAATTGAGCTTAACATAAAATATACATATACGAAATTAAAATTAAATTAACTTATAAACAAAGCAAAGCAGCGCGCGTAAGCAAACCGAGGACACGCATGAACGAGCGTATAAGAACGAATAAAATTCGCTGCTAAAATTTAATTGTAGAAAAAAATAATAAATCTTAAATGCTAATTAAACTTAAATTGTATAATATAAATGTACATATTTATGCATATGCAATACTTAAAATTAATTAAATTATTCAATTTCTATACAGTTTTATAGTTTAAAAAGTTTAGTTGTTGGGGGTGAAGGGGGCGCTGGCGCTTCATACATAGAATACAATACAATAGTAGCGCTGGCATTTGTCAGCTTAGCGTGTGGTGGACCCAAAGTTAAAGTATGTACTATGTATGTTTGTAGTTGTGTGGCATAGTTACAATTACGTGTGTGGATTGACTTATTTATTTAGCTTTTAATTATAATTATTTTTGCTTGCTTTTCAATTGATTTGTCTATCTCTGTTTGTTTGTTTGTTTGTTTGTTTGCTTGCTACTTTTCGTCGTCTTCTTCTACTAAATTAAAGTACAAATTACATAGCATACAATTTAACAAATTAATAAGCGCATTTACACAGATTAATATTTGCTCTTTGTAGCTTAATTGAAGCGCTTCTTTTTGCTGTTGTTTTTTTTTTGTCTGTTCTTATAACATTATACAACATATGATTATTCTAAATCTAAATTCGCTTATAGACAGCTACATACCTATAAGTGTATATGTTTATATGTAGTATAAATACAAAAATAAGGCGCAAAGTAAAAGCTAATTATTGTTGCTTTTAATTAATTAATATAACATTTAGTTAAGCTTTAAATGAAACTGTACAAAAAGCTTATGCATTGCAGCAGACGCTACAATGCGACCTAGGAAATGAAAAGAACTAAATAAAATTATTACAAAATGTTGTTAGTTGATTAAAAAAAAAAAAAATTAAAATTAATGCTTCTTCTTGCTGGCTTATTCAAATTCACTGAAGGCTACAAAGTCGCATAGCACTTCAAAAATCACTAAATAATGCATGTTGGATTTTTTTACAATAAATTTGCTTTTTGAATTATTTTGTTTTTTTTTTTTAGTTTTGCATTTCCATAGCATGGAGTAGTTCAGTTTTAAAATTGTAGCATATCATATTTTGACTTCGTGTTTTTTTTTAATTATTTTTAAATTTCTGTCCTTTTTAATGTTCATAATTTTTGTATGTAAGTATGTACTTGTATGTATTGTTTAAATATACGATTTCACTGCATACTTTTGCATTCTTTTTATGCGCTTAAATGTAATGTATGTATTAAAATATGCATTGTTGATAATTCTTGCATGAATGTGTCGCTGGTGCATTGAAGAGGTTTTTTTTTTCACAAAGTTTATTAGTGAGTGAATGAGTGAGTTTTTGATAGTAAATGATTTCTATGCATTTTTTTTTATGATGCCAAACTAGCTGTAGTAGTGCTGCTAGTAACTTGTTTTCTCTACCTTAGACTATTGTGCAAGTCGCGCTTACTAAATTTTGAAAATACCTTTACAAAACTAATTAGGATTACGGCGGATGAGCCTTTCGCCGCTGTAACATCGCAAAGTTCATACTCCTTCCTTTTACTTTTACAAATTTTCTGCGGTTTTCATGAATATGCATACATATATATTTTTTACAGAAAAATCGTATCACTGTTTATAATTTTCCTTCATTCACAGCATATTAAATTATTTATACATTAACATTACCAAAAATTTAAATAAAAAATTACAAAAACCATTTCGCAATACTCGTTAATTTATCTTATCTCTTTCCTCGCTATTTTCGGCAATTCGGCAGTTGGTTGCATACTGTAGTAGGTGGTCGCCACTTTTCAGTCACATTTAAAAGCAATTAAACAATACTACTTTGCTGCTTCTCAAAATAGTCAATAGTCGGTGTGCTTGAACTTGACTCAGCGCCTTCGACATCTACGCAGCGTTTTTCAGTGCTTCTATAAATGAATGCCATGCTTTCGATCAAATGTATATATGGGCTAAATTGATTGTTGACAGTCGTTCATTCATTCGTTCATTCATAAATACATATATAAATGGCATACATATGTTATGGGTTTGGGGAGCAGACAGAAGCAAAATTAGTAAGTAAAGTCACTTTTTTTTACAAAATATGAAATTATGAAAATAAACTTTCCAATAATTCAAAGCAAAAATTAAATCGAAATACGAAATCAGAAATCAGAAATATACAAACTTTCAACATTCATCAAAACGAACTAAAACTTAAATCAACTCAGTAACTTAAATTAACTCAAAACTAATCGATTAATTAATTTAAATGTTGCTAAACGCAATAATTAATTAATTATTTGACTTATGCATACAGTGTACATTCAATATAACTAGTCGGCACAAATCCTTCATCCCAGCCGTTGGTGGCATTGGCACGGCGCACGCGCGTCCATCCATCACCCTGATCGATTTCAATCACTTGCAGTTCTTCGCCCTCAATCATTGGTATGCTGCCTTCGCTGGTCGCTATTAGATTAAAACAACAAAAAAAAATATTTAATTAGTAACACTTTCCGCAACATAAGAATCTCTTTACACTCACCTTCGAAGGGATAGAGCGCTCGACATGTACCCAACGGCTGCAGTACCTCAATTTCCGTCTCATCATATCCATCCTCGCCAATGGCATTCTCGTTCGCACTACCCTGTCCTGAACCCGGTAGTGAGGTGTGCGATGTACCCAATCCACTTTCGGGGCTAGCCGAACTGCTGATTTTGTAGCCGCGCATGCAAAAGAGGAAATTTGTGTAGCATTTGTTTTTTTTTTGGAGGAGCGGGTGCGGATTGACGCAGCAATAAGCAATGAAGTGCCAAAAATAATGAAAAGAAATAAAATAGTACGAAACCAAATGAGAATTTAATTGGATATTCCTTTTTTTGGGCGAATTGTTTGTGGTAAAATTTTAGTTAATTTTTTTTTTTGCATGTGGCAATTTTGTTACTTTTATAATAACATATATATGAATCAAGCAGATTTGATGAGAATGAGAAACAAATATTTTTACATAAAACAAGTTGTGAAAATGAGGTGAAGGTATTAAAGGGGTATCCATACGCAGGAAAAGTAAAACGTTAAGGTAAGTTATAGGACGTGTAGGCGTTTAAAGTGGGCAATATGGAAGTACTTATCAACAAAATATGTATGTATTAGTCGTTTTCCCTTAACCCAATCGGACGCCTCAACGCAACGTTTCCACAACAGTCGGGTCTACGTTACTGGAAAGGGTCGATTCCACAAAAGTTCCTGGGGGAATTTTCGTGCTGTAGCAACAACATAGAATGTGGCTAAAAAAACTCAACTCGTCGTACTTATCATTTTTATAGGGCTACCACTTCCCCTTGTACTTACAAAACAACGGACCAAAGTTGTAAAATGGTATCAGAAAATAAAACCGCCAGATGGCGCTAGAGTCAAGTTATTTTGAAAATATTAGATATACATCTAACGAGCCGATCTGGGTCAAATTTGGGATGTAAGTTATATTTGAGAAAAAAAAAATGCACGTTATTTGGCGCTGGAGACGAACGAAAAACGGAAATTTCGAAGTGGACACAGAACTATTAGCTTTGTGGATCCTAATCGATTCTAATTGAACTTCCCGCAGTCCGAAAAATTCGCTTCAGATTGCTGTGGGAATATTTCTACGAAGACTTGGAAGTTTCAACACAGTTTCATTGGACCATTCAGATTAAGACGGTTGATATTGAATATATTCCAAAGTCTGATGAAATCTAAAATATTTCTTTATTTTACGAAAATGCGATCACATAGTCCGAATTGCAATGATACAAATGCAAAACGTTCGCAGCCATTCGTATTCAGTGCTAGCCCTGTACACCTCAATGGTTTTGATGAAAAAATGTTAGAGATCTCGGCAATTGATGCAAGTTTTGTACGATTGTTTTTCAAGGGCCTGTTACAGCTTAGTTTTGAGCTTAACATTAATTTTAATATATTACCATAGAATGAGCCTAAGTTTCCTGTCAACTCAATGAAATTCTAAATGAATCTACAAACATAACTTTCGAATGAAAGAGGATGCAAATTTCAAAAACCAATAATTTCGAGTATGTGAAAATTGTTAGTAGTGATGATAAAAAAAATAAAATAAAAAACAATACGAGGAGATGTGTGTGCGCATTTTTACAAAGGAAATAAAATGAGGATGGGCAAAGAATTTTCGCAAAAAGGAACTAACAATAAATTGAATGAAACGAATTGGTGAATTCACATAATGAAAAAAGACAAACAAATGGCAAATGGTCTAAAGCTATGCAACATACGACTTATGAGTGTACCCGTTATTGTTATTATTATGCCCATTTTGTATTTGCGCCACATTATCCTCTGAACCTGACCTGCTTAAGCTGCCACCATCATCGGGATGATCTTCACCCTCATCATTGTGGTCCTCGGCACTGCCATTGGAATGTCTACAAGCAAGAAAATGAATTTTCGAATTAAAATTGTACAGTATGGAAATTTATAAATTAAATTTACACACACACACACACACACACCTTGATGTTCGATGTCCGTTCTGTATGTGATTACGACTCGCTTGCGGACTATTACTGGCCAATGGTATTTGATTCGCGCTCTCCAAATAGCCTTGGAACTTTTTCAAATCCATGCGCAGTTTTTCCATTTTGTGCTCGGACTCATTGAGTTGACCTTCGACGGTCATTGGATTGCCCAGCGATGAATTCGATTCATAGACCATTTTCATTTTCATCAGACCATCACGTGTGGCCACCTCCTGATTGAGTTTGTGTTGTAGTTCGGCAAGTTTAGCTTGTAGCTTTTTGCGCCGTTGACTGGGTGGTAAATCGCTGAAATCTTCCTTTTGTCCGTCCGCCGTTAGCGAATTCTAAGGAAACGGTAGGTGAACAATGCAAAAAAGAAAAAAAAAATTAAACGTGGTGGAAGGGAGTGTAGTTATTTACTTCTTTTTTTTCTTTTTTTTTTTGTTTTGCGAACGATCACTTAACAAACGGATAAGTGCATATGGAGTGTAGTGTAGGTATTAATTGAGAACAATAAATGGGTGATTGAACAGAAAAAAAGCTCGAGAGCGAAACGAACACTAAACAATACATATGTATTTATGTGGAGTACAAAAAAAATTAAAAAATAATAATAAAAATCTGGGGTTACTCCTGGACAACACAGGGTGTCGTGGGATGATGATTGTGCGCCAATGGCTGTCGTTTGATATTTTTCAAGATTTTTTTTTTTTTTTTTTAATTTAAAAACACAAAATTTGTGCGCATGCGTAGAAGTAAAAATCAAATACGCCTACAGCTATGCAGCCAAAAAAAAAAATAAAAATCAAAAACGGTTGTGCAGCTGTTATAAAAAAAAAACGCTATTTTGTGAGTGTTTAGGCAAAGGTTAATATGAAAAGGTGTGGAAAATAGGAAAATGAAGCAAAATGGGTGGTAAGGCTCAGTGATAAGCGCGAAAAAAATTGCAAAAGCTTAACACTTTTAGCGCCCCTGCCCGTTAATAAACCCATAAGTATATACGTGTAAGTGTGTAAGTAAGTGTGTGTGTGTGATGAATATTAAAAACTGTTAGGTGTATTTTAACAAAATTACAAAAAGTAGTGATTGTGATAGTAAGAGCTGAAAGTTTATTAAATAGTTAGTGATTAGAGGATTTTGTTTGCTAAAATTTTCAATACTTTTACAATAGTTAGTTATTAGCACTAGTAGATGTAAATGGAAACACGCTTAAAAGTAGAACTATTTATTAGTGAAGTGTTATTGCTTAGTAAGTATTTGTTTATTAGAAAAATGTTAGAAAAGCAGCGTAAAATTATTCATACCTTCATGGTGATACAGGCTTCATAAATCTTCTGTGGCTATTGACAGATAGTTTTTTGAAATTGTATCACAATATTTTTTTTTTTAGTTTTTTTTTAAGTTGCATTTTTTTCAGTTTTTGAGTATTTGTTTTTTTTTCATAAGCGTTACGTTGTGATAGTGGCGGTGATGTTTTCGATACGCATGTGGTATAAAGGTGTTTGTTGTTTTTGTAGTTGGTTGGTGTGTTGTAGTAGTTGTAGTTGATAAGAAGTGTGAGTTCAAAAAAAAAATTGGTTTGTCGTTTAGTAAAAAAGTAAGAAAATATTAATTTTTTTGTTTGTAATTATTGATTTTGCGAAAAGGAAATTTGATAATTTTTTGCGTACAAATACATATACATTTGCAAGTTAACAAAATAAGTGTAAAGCCGCATTAAAATTAATAAAACCAATAATAACAACGAAAAGAGGTTGTGTTGTGGGTGGTTAAGAAGAGAGAGGGGAAAGAAAAAAAACGTAATAGTAGATATTATATTGCAATATGATATAAACAAATGTATATATTTTCTAAGATGTAGACGTATCAATGAATGTTGCGCATAAATGATAGTGCGCCTAAGGGTATACATTAACTCTGGCACTCAAATTATATTATAAGTTTACTGTTGATAGCTTAAAAAAAAAACATCTGAAAAAGCTTGCTATAGCTTATCTCTTCCCGGTGCATTTAACGTCTTTTCTACGACAGCACCTGCAGATTCCGATTGGAGAACCTTCTCTCATTGCAGCTGCATTAGTTTAAAGCGTCCTTTACACAAAATCTGCAGAAATCACAAAAATACAAACTGGGAACTTTCTTTGTAAGAATTCTCGAATGGAAATTTTGACGTCCAAGACGCTCCTAGCTTATTAATGATCCTGTTTTCATTTGAGGCCTAAAGGAAAATCTCAGCCAGAATGTTGGAACAATGAAATCTAGAACTTAGCCAAGATGGTGGGACTAGATGTGAATCATGACGCACTTCGTACTATTCTCGATTAAATAAAAGATGCCTAAAGACAATACATATTTATTAGACAATAAAGGGATTTGGTAGGATTAAGGAAACTTCCAATGCTTTGAACGCATGCAAACAAAAATACTCGGTAAGGCATGAGACCTAGCTCGCTGTCATACGGAATATAACCAGCATACCATCGTTACATCTGCGCTAAAGAAGTTCACTTTTCAATCACTTTTCTTTTTTAGTTCCTTCAAAAAATAAATTATTCTGCGATGCATTTGTCATTAAAGGCGGTTTCCTAAAATCATTATTATTTCTAAGCGGATATGGCTGTACATATGGTCATACGGTTAAAGTAATATTAGAGGGCTGTACGAATGCTAAGGCTACCTCCTTCCCCAAAACGGAATTTAAGAAACGATCTCGTGTAGTAATAGAAAAAGATGGGCAGACTTCGATTCAATCGACGCATATAATATTAGGCAGTAAAAGGAACTCCTTGTTTTTTGGGGAATCAGCTGGAGATCTGAGACTTTTCTGTTCGGTATACCCGACTGTGGTGGGACCCAGTGCCTGGGATACCTACGGCAGGTTGTCTTATACCAACTTACATCGTCAAACTACGACTTATGCAAAATGATGCATGCCTACACATGAGAAAAACATGCAACCATAAGGTCCACCTGTGTCACAGCCCAGCATGCTACAGATTGCGACTAATCTTCACTCGTGTGTTTTTCAACTCATTTAACATTACTATGGGTCACAGAACAGTGCATCACGTGTAGGATTTAAAATCGAAAACTCCATGCCGGCTCTAAGCTAAGGATCCGTTGAAATCGACTGCATCCTTATAGGATTCCAACCAAACAATAAAACAAAAGCTTCTTTTTTTAGAGAACATTATTTTATGGCTTCCACCCAACGTACTATTAGAAGGTTTCTGAGTGCTATTTTTATCCGACTTAAATGTCTAAAATATGAAATGTCTGGAAAAAAACCTTCTGTTTTAATGGGTTTCTGACTAAAATTTGGTTAAAGCCTACCGTAAATACCCAAAAATTGTAAAGGGCTGAGGAAGCGTATAAGTATTTATTTTAAATGATGCATTTATTACTTAAATATACAATTTTATACTATCTCATCTTTCATTTGCTTTTTGAATAACTTTCCCATCCCTAGCAAAGTAAATTCATCCCACTATTCAATCGATGTTCTTCGAAAGCTGAAGTGTATGTACTCTAAGTATAATAATAAAAATAAAAGTGTACAAAACACTTTCTTAGATTGCTTACATAAACAAAAAAAAATGTGTGTACAGATTTTAAAATGTCCTACGGAAAGGTGTAAAAAATAGTAACAACATAGGCCCACAAAAAAAAATCATCCAGAGCACAAGAATAATCAGTTCATACAGAGTTTGAGTCGCTGCAACTGAATCTGAAGGCAGGATTCTAAGGTTGGTTCAATATTTGTTTCCAAACTCAAAAATCTAACAACAAATATATGTAACAGAAGAGCAGATTTTGAGTTTTGATCGCAGTATCGGACTCAGCGACGCTTATAGCCCATTTCCACCAAAAGCTTAACTGCAGTAGGAGCTCAGAAAAATTCCAAAAATTTTAACATGAAGTGAGTTTCTTAATATTGGCTTTTTTTATTTTCATTTGCTTGTACTTAGTATGAGCAATTACTTCCTTCGGGTGGTAATCTCCATTTTCCAAAAGGCATAAACAGCAGTTAAGGCTTGGTGGAAATGAAATATTTTACTCTCGTTCGCACGACAAAGTTTTTTTTTGTGGAGCTGTGTGAAAAATTAAAAATTAAATGTAAAAAACAATTTCTTCAATTTTTTTCAAAGCCAATATCGGAAGTGCCATACTTACAAAAGCCAAATACAAATTTTCAGAAACTTTAAACACTAATAGCCTTATTCATAAAAAAATAAAGTAGCTTTAAAAAAGGTTTATAAATTGAAAAAGATATGAAAACTTCAATTTGTAAAGCTCTATAAACCTGCTTTATTTTTATAAATAAGGCCATAAAGATATAATAAATGAGTCCAATAGAATATAAATAAACAAAACCATGAAGTAACAAAGCATATTAAATAACAATAAACCATGTTTAGAAAGAAAGCACCGCTCAATAACTGCATTATGTGTTATAAACAAACGAGTATATGTTTGACAAACACAATTCATATGGATATGCATTTTTTTATGACCAAATTCTTTCAAAATAAAAAGATTGTCAAAGGTATATAAAAGTGATGATTTCATACAATTTGTTTATTTATAAAGCATTACACAGGTACTTTATTTTTTATGCAAAGCTATCACTTAATCGATTGTACTCCGACTTTTGTGAAATCTACGAATTGATAAGAATGCGCGTAGCAACGTTCATATCTTTACCAATTCGAAAATTTCACGAAAAATGCGGCTACAATGGATTCAGTGGCAGTCCGATGAGTTCAGATGTTAGAATATTATTTACTACAATTATGTCAGTGACAAATTTGAAAGCTGTAGAATGGCAACAGTGAATTAAAATGTCAAATTGTACCAAAATGTGTTAAATGCTCGGTATGTTATGGAGCCTAAATTTAAATTAGAAAGCAATTTAATAAAACATCAAATAAAACTTTATAAATTTTCGAGTTGTTAAGTACTACAATTTTTAAATTTTTAGTAATTCCACAGCACACCGAGCTTAATGCTAAACAAAATTTGCACTATGGAGATATGTATGTATGTATAGTTGTACGACAACAAAACACTACAAGTACATGAAACACGTATGCATGTATGTATGTAAGTATAAACGCTGAGGCTGTACGCACATTAGGTAGGTACTTACATTAAAGATTTAAATCGTCGTTTGAATGGAATCACAAATTTTCCAATTATTTTGAGGTTATTCATAACACATACATATGTAAATTTCGACATAAATTTTTGTTGTTGGCGATATAAATATATTTTTTGTTTTTGTTTTGCAGAGATTGAATTGTGATTTCGCAAGAGCGTACCCAGTAATCCAATAGGTAATCAACACAAAAAGTAGAAAGAGAGACAAAAGACATTATGAGATAAATATGGAAAGCATAACAACAACCAAAGCGTTTGTAATAGACAAACAAAAAAAAAAATTGTGTGTTTAAATAGGAAACTAAAGTGCACAGAAACTAAATAAATTTACAAAAAAAAAAGGAATGCAAGCTGAGTAGAAACACAAAGAGAAAACATGAAATGATTTTACGAATGGAGTAAAAACAAATATGTAAAAGAAAGAGATACCTCGAGTTCTTCATATATATAAAATGGTTTTGGTCTGTTGCAGAAATGTGTTCTATAAGTTGTTAAGGCACAAAAATGTATTTCTGTTAAAGCTGATTGGCTTCTGATATTTCCCTAAACAGCTAATAAAACTTACAAACAAAAACGGGGAATATCTTCGGCGTAATATTGGAACGCGTAGGGTTACCAGATATCTCTACATTAAACCCCTATAGGCAAATATTTTCCATAAATAATAGCTGTGCCTAAAGGTATGCAACGTCTGCACTTGATACCGATTTCATATTAAGCTTATTAAGCCTTCGGTCGGCACATTTTAAAGTACACTTATTTTCTAGAATCTCACTGTCGATTTCTGGTATAAAATTTCATTGATAAAAGCTTGAGAAATGTGGTATTAGCTAGCCATGAGTAAGAGAGTATTTGTAATATTTAAAGTGGCAATCATTGAAGTCGCTTAGCAGAAACGTATATCGCTGGCTTAGAGTGCAAAGTTGCCAAGTCCATATTTTTTTCTTTAATTTTTTTTTAATTCTTATAGCCATTTTCTTCAAGTATTTTGCAAATTTTTGAATACAACATTTTGCGAATATAAACGAGAAAAAATAAAACGAGTACCTATATCAAAATATGAGTTTTCACAAAAAGCAAACTTAGCAATTTTCACTCTAAGCTAGCGATATGTAGATTGTCTGAAATACATGTCTCAAACATAGAAAGCGGCCGGCGATTAAAAAAAAGGCAACAGTTGGAGTTGTCTGTTGTACTCTTTCAGGTGTTATAAATAACATTCTAGCCTCGGCCTGTTTTTTTTTTTTATTTTTATAACAGTGTATGCATTCTAAATATTTGAATATTTAGAGAAAAAATTTTTACTCTTCAAATCCTATTTAGGAGTCAACATTTCTAGTTTACATCGACTTCACAGGCTGTGAGCCAATTTGAGTTATTTCACCAAACACGAGTTACAAAATCTAAACATTCAGATTTTAAAATTCTGTATATTAATACCATTCTAAAACCATTATTTTCCGATCACATCTAAAATTACACTACGCACTTACCTTATTGCTGCCGAAGAAGCTGAAAATCGCTGGGCGTTTCTTGACTCTCGTGCTAATGGTGCCCTTAACGGTGAAATGACTTGACTGCACACGGGAATCTGATGATGAATCAAGATTTTGCTTTGACAAATCATCGAATGGTATGTCAGTTGGTGGTGTGAAGCCCGATTGATATCTGCAAACAGAAAATAAAAAAAAACGCGATTTAAGTATGTTTGTTGCCAAATACAAATAAATAAATAAATAAATAAAAGCTTAAATTGACAACAGCAGCAACCTTTCTATGACTTTAAAGGAGTCCTCCTTTTCGTTTATTGACTCGCCCGCCTTAACAATACCCTCCATGCACCGTGCAATAATAGGCGCTACGGCCGATTCAACCTCTGCGGTGCCAATTATGAATTCACGTATGCCGCCTGTGCGCTTCTCATCCAACTCTTGGAGGCGATTGAAAACCTGCAATGCCAAAAAAAAAATTATTTAAATTTATTTATGCCATTTTTAAATTGCTTTTTCGCTTTGAAATTTCCACTCACCGCTGGCAACATTACACTGTAGTGTTGCTGTTGTAAATTGTTAGTCTTCTGCAGTTGATTGGCATATTCGTTTTTCGCATCGTCCGATTGTTGTATTTTCGCCGTCATTATATTTTTATAGCGTTCCACTTCAGCTCGACTCAGATTCAGATCCATATCGGCTTTCTTGTAATTCTCCACCGCTTTTTCCGACTCGCGGAACGCTTTCTCATAGTTGCGTTTGGCGCGATCCAGTGCGCCCAACTGTGCGGTGAGTGTCTGTTGTAGGGAGGTGCCTTCATTGAGACATCGCTGTGAAGAGAAACAAGAGAAATTCGATTTTTTGTTTTGATAAGTATAGAAGATTTTCTTTTTTTTGGCGATGCCTCACTTTTCGTTCATCTCGCAACGTTTTGGAGAGCACTTGTATGCCTTGTGCGATGCGTTGTTCCAGTGATTCGGCGACTACTTCGCGCTGACCCGCTAAATCGTTGATTTCTTTTAGAACATTGCGAAAAGCTTGGCAGGATGAAAATCTGGAAAGGAATATTGAAAACACAAATTTTTAGTTTTTTGTTAAGAAATGAGAAAATTAGTTTGTTTACGAAAATAATTAAATTCAATAAATGGGTTAGTTAGGAAAAATAAATAAATTTGTGGAAAAAAGTAACATAAATACAAATAGTTATTTACACTAGTATAATTACACTCAAGTTTTTGAAGTAACAGATATGCAGGTCCGTCATCTTTTGACATGCACTGTGCTGGCATGTATTTTTACTCGCTACTCGTCATTATTGTGTTTACAAGCATCATATGTACATACGTACATACATATGTGTGTAGGTATATACGCACACACATGTTTGTGCGGAGCTGTCGTATATGAAAATGCGCATAAAAGCTGCGCAAACTGGGCAAAACAACAAAAGGCATGCAACTAAAGTTTGAGTGAGTGTCTGTTTAAGTGGTACAGAGCATGTAGAAAACAAAGAGAGCGCTAACAATTCAATGTGGAACGTAATTATTTACCACAGCGTTGCCAGTAATAATTTTAAAGGCCAGCTATTATGAAATAAAAAATTAAGTTAGACATCAAAAAAAAAAAATCAAATTTAAAAAATTTAAAATTTATTTCAGTTATATTAAAAACAAATTATATTTAAAAAACTTAAACAAAAATATTTAATTAACTTTAGAAAATTAAGAAATTTAAAAAATATTTACAAAATTATTTCTGAAAGTAAAAAACAAATAAAAATTCAAAAAAAATATATTTAAAAATTAAAGAAAAGGTATTTAAAAGTCAAAGAAAAGGTATTTAAAAATCAAAGAAAAAGTATTTAAAAAATTATTTTAAAAAATAATAACCAAATATTTAAGAAATCAGAAAAATAATAAAACTAAGGAAAAAATTAAGGAAAAAAAAATTGTAGGAAAATAAAAATATGTTACAAAAGAATAAAAAGATGTTATTAAAAAAATAAAAATGTTATTAAACAAAATTATTTAATTAACATTTAAAAAATATAAAAAAAAAATTCAAAGAAATTAAAAGTAAGGAAAAATATTCATCAAATTAAAAATAATTTAAAAAAAAATTAAGAAAAATAAATAAAAAAAAAATAAAAATAAAAATGTTACTGTAATTAGGAAAATAAAATATGATATTAAAAAAAATTAAAATAATCAAAAAAAATTAAAAATTAAATAATATTTTAAATTATACTAAATTCATAAAAAAGTTGGCTCTTTAACAAAGATGGCACGATTTTGGAGGTTTTCTTGCCTGGTACCTGAGAAATTTTAGGGATGTGCATTTGTCTCCACTGCTACTTTATCCGTTGCTCACATGCGGATGGGTGGATAAGGTGTAGTAGATATATCGCCGCCTGATCAGCAATCAGAAATCAAGACGTTAAGTTCCCCTCTTTACCCCTCTTTAGGGACACTTTTAAGTAGTTACTAGCCACATACACTTGCGAGCTTTTCTTAGCAGCTCAATAATGTGCAAGCTTACCCAGACTAAGCAACTTTAAACATTACCATTAACAAAAAAAAACTAGTTTTCTAGAAGAAGTCTAAAAAAAAATACAATGACAGGCATTAAACAAATTGAGCATTAAACATTTCCTTATTATCTATCAAGTTAATAAAAATATTTGAAGAATAACATTAGCTCTGAATTTCATTCATTTCCTGATACGACTATGCCAGTCTAGCAAAACTTATTTCTTTATTTATGTCTTTTCGTGTATAACCTATTCAGCAAAGAAATTCTAATCACTCATCCAGCTTACAACTTTGCAACATTCAAATGCAAATTATGTGCAATTTGTCACGCTTAAGTCATTGGCTGAGAGCTAAGCTAAGCAAGGCGTATTTTAGATGTCTGTCAATCGAAGTTGTGACAAGCCAGCCATAAATGGAAGCAGCTGACTGTGCGGAACGCACACATTTTTTTATATAATGAGGTGGAGAAAGAGGAGCAAAAGCAGACGAAACGCACACACATACGCAGCGAATGAACAAACGAACAAACAATGGATACTCACAGAAGAAGGAGGCGGTGGCGTATGAGCAACGTGACGTCAGAGGCTGCGGCGACGAGTATGTAATGGACAATGACAGCGAAACGTGCCGCGGTAGGTGGCGCCAAGTGCAAATGGCAAGTGCATAATAAAGAACAAAAACAAAGCCAAAACACTTGCGCATAAGAGGGCACACTGGAAATATAAAAATTACAAAACTCCGAAATGAGCCAGAGAGTGAGGGAGTGAGTAAATTTACATTCCACTGCACTTAAAAAAGGAACAGTCCAGCGCCTTCGTCTTGGTCTGCAGGCTGTATCGGAGATACACCCGCTAAATTTAAACGTAGAATACGTAGTATGGTTAAGAGCATATCCAAGTCAAAAACGAAAGCACAAACTAAGAAAAAAATATCGATAACAAAAGCGATAATAAAATCGATAACAAAATCGATAACAAAATCGATAAAAATATCGATAACAAAATCGTTAACTAAATCGATAAAAAATCGATTACAAAATCTATCGAAAAATCGATTACAAAATCGATAACAAAATCGATTCCAAAGTCAATAACAAAATTGATAACAAATTCTATCAAAAAATCCATTACAAAATCGGTAATAAATTCGATAAAAAAATCGATAACAAAAGCGATGGCAATATTGATAGCAAAATCGGTAAAAAAAAACAGATAAAAATACCGACAACAAAAGCGATAACAATATCTATAAAAAAAATCGATAAAAATATTGATGACAAAAGCGACACAAATATCGATAACAAAAGCGATAACAATATCGATAGCAAAATTGTTAAA